ATTGTTGAGATTATAAGGAAATTAGATCTAATATGGTGCATATGAGAAGAAAAAAAAAAAAAAAAAAAAAAAAATCACAGAACAATTAACAACAATAAACAAGCTTATGTAACTTCTAAAGTACCTCAAAGTAATGAGAAGCCATTCTGAATAAAAAATAAAATAGCAGTAAGTAGTTTCCTGGAAAATTCTGAACTCATGACAGGAAAAAGTCTGATATGCTATATCTATGTATTTTTAATAATGAAAAAAAAAAACTAAATTAATAAAAAAATTAAAAAATTAAAAAAATCAGTCAACATCTACTGTGTTGCCAACACAGCAAAAGTCACATTAAATAGCAAACAAAGAACATTGCATATATTCCTTAATATCCTACATAACTCAAAATGACAATAATGCTGACTTAGTACCATGTATAAGATGATCTAAATACCTCTTAATATCCTTATAGCACTTAACCCCTTGATGACGGGTGTAGGAAATAAATAACTCTACGCTCTGAAAATCAACAGCAACGCGCCGACTTTGAGTGTGGGAGTTCGGTACATCTAGCCGAATCACTGGCTTGTAGTACTTTGGCGCGCTGCCAGTGCATGCAGCCACACGCCACAGATTGAGCGGTTTGTTATGACGCCTCAGGGAGTGACTAAAGTGATGAATTACTCTGCATCTATTAGCAACATAAACCCGAAAGAACTCAAATAATAACACATACATATAGATGGATAGGTTACTTAACCCATTGGATCCAGTTGAATCACGGCAATCAAATCACCAAAAATCCTGGCATTAGGCTTACATAAGTGAGTGCTCTGCCAGGTGGCTGCATGCAAGCTTGCAGGCCTGGTGTACGCGAGCAAGAACAAGACTCTATGCTTCCTATTTGCAAAGTTATTTACTCTTTTCACACATAAGCATTTTTAGCTTGGCCATTTTCCAATATCCAAATTTGCCATTTGATTTGCATTATGCAAATGCTAATAGTTTTTTTTTCTTTGTACAGACTCCATATCATCTCTCTAGGTTGTCTACAACTCAGTGCAAGAAAAATAAAACTCCATGTAACACTATGTAAATTTTGTTATTTTAATTTCTTTTATATGATATTCAATTTTCTATAAAACAACCTGTGTCACTACTCATGGCACCAGGAATATGAGGCTGAACATGGAAATGGCATCCTCCATGGAGCCGGCACTCTTCCAGTCACCACTCACAGACATTACATTCCACACTCATACATTGATGGGAATAATGCAAAATTGCCAAATGAGTAAAATAAACCTCCTAATAAGTTTGGGAACTCGTGGTGAGTCTTTTCCATCACCTAGGCCTTCAGCCGCAATGCCCACAATGGTAGGTTTGTGTTATCCGGCCTACAGCCAGATTTTCCCGTGGCAGTATGTTTACGTCACCTGCCTCCCAATTCGTTTTTTTTCATGATATGATGGTCACGTCACCCGGATCCAAGGGGTTACAGAAGACTGCATATATTCCTATATAATAACCCATTTCACTCCAAATAAAAGTAAGGAATTTGGTACCCTGAACAATGTGACCTCTTGATTATCAACCATCTGTCTAGCATTTGTGACAAAGTAATAAATGATTAATTTTCTCTATGAGTAACTGGGGAATAAAAACATTAGCTTGGTCATTCTTAACGCCCTGACGTGATGGGCCACACTTATGGCTTTAATTCCTCCAAGTTAGACAGCTGGTCAAGAACCTAGGGATTATTGGCTTGGATACCCTGTGCCCCCAGGGAGAGTATGCATAAAAACTTCCATTCATTGTAAATTTTCTAATCACACCATGTTGCTCTGGCTGACTTTGTACTGCCTTCATCATCCCCATTAACTGTGAGGAAGTGTAAGCTCCTCATGTATTGTAAGTTTCACTGTGTATAATGGGCATTTAGCTAGTTTTTACAGTATACGTTTATGCTTGTTCTAAGTCTGCATGGTCTTGCATTACAATAATACTTTCTGATGTCAGTTAGAATATGCTCAATCAATGTTCTCATGTCAAATATAAAGTAATATGAAAGTACAATGAGGATTTATAAAACAAAAAATGAATAAAATGAAAATTTGATTGTCTGAGTATTATTGTATATCATATATGGTTGGAATGTAACTTCCTGGTGATAAGTTTTAGCCTAAACATAGGTTACAAGGTGCAGAAAGTAGGAAATCAATGAAATTAAGAATAAAATATTGAGCTTTGCTTATGGCACTATAACACTAAATGGTTAATGGTTACAAAGCAAAATCAATGTGCTAGACATCAACTAAGGCAGTAAATTGCATCTTGTCTCTCCATTGTACTACCAATTTCACTGCTGCACTGTTATGGTTTGCATGGGATTTTATGATGGCATTACTTTCTGATATGTTGAAATGTGCCAAATTTATGTGAATTTACATGAAATCTAACCAAAAGCAACAGGCCCATGATGAACATATATAATGAAAAAGTCAATTACACAAAATCAACTATTTCAGTGTTGTACATCAGGTATGATTTGCAAGCACTTTCCTGGTGACATGTAATCTTAGTCACTGGTTGTGATGTACACAAAGTAATAAGTCTGAATGAAATTATGGTGAATAAAGTGGTAAGCTTTCCTCACACTACCAAAATGCTGCTGGCAGCAGGAGTCTGCTACATGTAGCGGAACTTCCTGATTGACGCATTCTAGCACATTGCCACGCGTATAGCCATACCGGGCAGATCAAGCTGTTTGTTATGATGTCTATACACGTGGCCCAGCACTAACGGGTTAATGGTCTTACTGCTTAAATACCACTTATATTTTCTTTTTCCTTTACTAATGATTTCAAGTATATACAATATGGTAATAATAATAATAATAATAATAATAATAATAATAATAATAATAATAATAATAGCAATAGTAATAGAAATGGTAAAAATAATAATAATAATAATAATAATAATAATAATAATAATAATAATAATAACAAAAATAACAATAATAATAATGATGATAAAATCAATCAATATCCAAGACTTCATTACTCAGAAAACAAAAAGGCAGATTCAGCAGGATAAAGCTGCATTGGCTACACACTTTTGAGCTTTTTTTTTTTATAAATACTATTTCTGAACAAAATACATCATTAACAATGAAAAATGTGTAATCTTCAGACTGCAAAATCTCAAGTGACAGGGTTGGGCAGATTAAGGCAGAAGAAGGAGTGGAGGAGAAGGAGGAGGAGGAGGAGGAGGAGGAGGAAAAGGAGGAGGAGGAGGAGGAGGAGGAAGAGGAGATGGAGGAGGAGGAGGAGGAGGAAGAAGAAGGAGGAGGAAGAGGAAGAAAGAGAAGGAGGAGGAGGAGGAGGAGGAGGAGGAGGAGGATGAAGAGGAGGAGGAGGAGGAGGAGGAGGAGGAGGAGGAGGAGGAGGAGGAGGAGAAGGAGGAGGAGGAGGAATAGAAATAACAAGGAATAGTATGAAAAAGGAATAAGAATACGAAAAAGGAATAAGAATAACTAGAATCAAGAATAAGAATTAGAAAAAAAAAAAAATAAATAAAATAAAAAAATAAAAAAATAAAATAAAAAAGAAAGTAAACAATAAAAAAACACCTCAGTAATATTATACATCAAAAGACTTCTAGTGATATGCAATACCCGAGTCAATGAAATAAGAATAAAATGACGACTTCTTCAGTCCATTTTTTTTGTTTTGTTTTTTTTTACGAGTAACTTCATGCCCATGCGATATGCTACTGATACACACATTGCAAAATGACTTCATATATGTTTTATGTACAATAGATTTTTGAGCAAAATTTAAAATAGATAATGAAGTGTGTTAGCTTCACATCACAGTATCTTGGTGTTAATATCATGCAGTTTTGTGCACAAATAATTTCAATACTAGCCATGCTATTTGAAAGAGTTTGGTGTATTTCACACTGCTTCTGGAAGGCTCATAATTGTCAGGCTCCAAGTTTTAAACTGGAGGCAGGGCACAGGCCAAAAACTTTAGTGTCAACAGAAGCACAATTCAATATATTGAAAACTTTTATCTAATTATCTTGAAGCTGATTTAACCCCTTGGTGCCGGGTGATGCCGATTGGCGTGAAAACAAACCGCTCGAAAGCTGGTACGCAGCCGTACGCCACGGCGGCGCGCTAAAGCGCGGCGAGCCAGTGATTCAGGCTGATGTCCCCTACTCACGTACTCGAAGTCGGCGCACCACCTTTGTTTGCTAGAATGTAGAGTTTTTTTTTTTTTGTTTTGTACACCCGGCATCATTGGGTTAAATCTTATTTATCCATTTTTTTTTTTTTTTTTTATAAAACAAAGTGATATATGCTTAAATCTCAGCTTTATCCCTTCTCAACAAGACAATCCCCCTAACCCATTAGTGTCTGGCAATTTTATATCATTTCTGCTATTACGAGCCAGAAAACCATGGAGGCAGAACTGTGCGCATTAAGAAATGTTCAGCCTCACTCAACTTTATAAAAAATGTTGGTAACTATTATTGGGTTAAGTCAGCTCTCACAAACTAGCATTCAGGGAGGCCTAGAAGTCACAGAGTAATCTTGTTTAAAGTTATTTTTGAATATTTCTGGATTGTGGAGTATGGGATATTCAACAGTTAGGCATAGCTAAATAATGGTTCACTATTCTAAATCCATAACTGGATAAATATAGCAAACCTCTGAAATGGGTAGGGAAGAAGTAAACTCATGCACCCAGGCCAACCAGAAGACTGAGAAACAGATTCATGTCTGTGACAGGAAGTAGTAGACTTTCTGAAGAAATTCTGCTTTGGAATGAGTTCTACACACACACATACACACATACACAAGCATCCAAACACACATATAAATGTATGCATAAAAACAAACTTATGTATGTTAGTATTTTAAATATAAAATCCAAATATTACTGACAATGTGTCTATATGGCACCAAAAAAAAGAAAAGAAAAGAAAGAAAAAAAGATTCCACCCTG